AGCTGGTCTTCCTTGCAGTACTGTGTTAGTGCTTTGTTCGTTCTGATGGCCCACCATGGAGTTGATATAGAAATTGAATAAGAGTGGGGCCAATATGCAGCCTTTCTTGATACCTTTCTCAGTTCCAATGGTGCTGATGAGATGGCCCTGGGGGTTACCTCTTACTTTGAGTGAGGCCCCTTCATGAAGCATACATATTAGATGAAGTATACGGTCAATTGAGGAGGCCTCCAGTTTTTCCCATAATATAGCTTGGGAATTAAAAGCTGCTTTGAAGTCCATGAAAGTGGCATAAAGGGAGGTTATTTTGTGGGAGGAATATTTTTCAATGAGATGTTGGAGTACTAGGCACTGATCCATGGTGGATCAGCCTTCCCTAAAGCCAGCTTTCTCCTCTGCAAGTATGTTTTCTTGCTCCATCCAGTCCTGGAATTTCCATTGTAGATGTCTTGCGTAGAGTTTGCTGATAGGGTTGAGGAGGCTGATCGATCTATAATGATCAGGATCATCCTTTTTCCCTTTTTTATATATAGGGACAATGATCGGAAGCCCCCAGTCCTGGGGACTCAGCCATAGGTGTCCATGCAGGTAGAGAGTGAGGCCAGAGTGGGATACAGCCTTCAGGTTATGTGAAACTGGCCTGTCATAATGATACCCATCATTTTATGGCTGGCTGCTTCTTTCAGAATGATGATTAATTTTGAATTCATGTAGAAATATAGCCAACTTCTTAACTACTGTGTGGGAAAGTGTGTCTCTCAGCCAAGTGGTAGGCCTTGTATCTTTATTAATTATGCAAGAAGAGATCATTCTGTTTTGGACTATCAAGGAGTTTAGGCCAATAGCCTTGTTGTGGCTTGATTACAGTATTTCCTGCCATCTAGTGGATATTTCTGTGAATGAAAAAAAAAGATTCTGTAGTTCTGCCGTTTTATGCACATTTAATACTAGGGAATGTATCTCATTGGCCTTGATGGATCTTTATACCTACGTAAACGTGGGCAATATTGAAATAACAATATTGAAGCTTTATATTGTCTCAGCAATGGCTGGGCACGCACACAAATAACAATGGTCATCTTCATTTATTTGTGCAAAATGCCTAACCACGAAATGTAAATGGATCTGTTTCATTAGGCGTCATATAAGCTATTGCCCCTATGATGGTACAAAATAATAAACGATTTAGTAATAAAACTTTTTAAAACTTTGTTCCAGATTTGAAACAATGACGGGGGCTTAATTCCAAATTAGACAAATTATTTTCAAACTGAAAGTTCTAATTGTGAGAGATTCAAACTTGAAGTAGTAGCTTCCAAATTAATGCTGATTTTTTTTTTAAATAAATGATAAATCAGACTTCAAAACCTCTCTATATAATGCAAGGATGTCTCTTGATTGATCCTCAATCAAACAGAATCAGAGATCCTATTGCAAGGATATTTTATCTCCATTTTGGTTTTGTGCATAGAATATCTACATCAGCTTTCCCTAACTTGTAGACCTCTCCTGAACATTAACCCCAGTTCCCATTTTAACTTTTGAGAGAGTTGATGTCCAGCTGAAATTGTCTGAAATAGCCTTTCTGCATCTGAAGCATAATCTACTCCATAACTTGTGAAATACAAAAATAGAAATTTGCAGGATTTATGCAAATCACCTTTCAGATACAAATGCCAATGTTCCTGCAGCCACTTGCTCTGCCAAAGTCCAAATAGAAATTTGCAGGATTTATGCAAATCACCTTTCAGATACAAATGCCAATGTTCCTGCAGCCACTTGCTCTGCCAAATTCCTGTCATCTTCCTTCTACACAGAGATTTAAAAAAAATTTTTTTTTAAAAAAACCTTAATTGGCAGTTATTTATGTGTGTAGGGACGATGTTGTAATAATTGTAGTCAAGAAAGCTTTAATGCCTTCATCACCAAATTACAGTGGTCTCAGTTAGAAGAGAGTTCTCGCATGCTTGCACTTCTGATGGAAAAATTGGAGGGCAGCTATGCCCCGTGTGGTGTACTGGTCAACCGAATTGACTGCAAAAAAGATTTGGAACCAAAGGTTTGGGTTTCACCGTCCACTGTCTAGTACGTTATGCAACTGATCTAACCGTAGGTGCTCAACAGTTAGTATGTACTGGAATTTGAAACCTGTTTATTCAGGACTGTGAATGATGCCCTATTGACTGGAGAGGTTTAATACCAGCCTTCTCCAATCTGGGATCCTCCAAATTTAAATCTCAGAATTCCCAGTTAATGCTCAGAATTGTGGGAATTGCAGGCAAAAGAAATCAGAATGCCAGACTGGGGAAGGCTGCTCTCTGTAATTGCTAAGAATTCCATCAGCAGCTGCTGGTACTGGAATACATTTCTTTAAACACTCTCTCAGTATTCCCTGCCTTCATAAACCTACCTGTCCTTTCTTTGCCTTTAGGTGGATTCCAAAAAAGCAGATACAAAGGGACGGTCCAAAAGCAATGGACTGCTGTTGCTGTTCCAAATTAGAAAAAGAAACAGAAAAAGAAACAAACAGGAAAAAAAAAAAAAAGGAAGGAAGGAAGGAAGGAATTCCCAGCAGATGGAATGTGAATTGGCAAGAGAGTTGGAAGAAAGCTGGAAGAGAAGTCTCCACTGTTGCTTTAGCAACCCATATCCTCTAGCGTCGCCCAGAGGTTTCTCACCTTTTAGAGTCTGGTGATATGCTTTTTTGCTAAATCAGTTAACTATTTGCAGGAATAAGGTCCTGGTACTCTTTCACACACATTCATAGTAATAAATCTTTTAAATCTCCTTTGAAAGCCAGCTCATGCTGAAACTAGCTCTAGGATTTCCCAAGAAGTTCATTTTGGAAAAAATCAAGTGCAACTATGCTTTAGCATTTCCTTTTCCCACCAAGCCTTTCTCAGCTGAAATGTCCTCTTCTCCACCAACCCCTGCCAGAAAAAAACATTCAAATCCCTTACTTTATATCCAGCTATGGGGGAAACTGTGGCCATTGGAGCTGGAGGGCATTTCAGTTGAACGGTACATTGAATTTGGGGAATAACTGGGAAAAGGTTGTTTGGGACAGAAAAATTCTCCTCTCCCAGTGGCATGGTCCCAACCCAAATCACACAGACTTACTAACTTAAATTGCCATTGGAATCACAGATCTCACACTGTCCTTTCCATTCTGGTCCTCTTCCGGGGGGAATGTGGCTATCATTTCCTTAAGTGAATAATGCATTGTGTGAAGAAGGGCTTCCATTTGTTGACTATTTCTGTAACTTTCTGGGTGGAGCTTGAATTCTGTATGAGGTGGTGTGGAGGGAATTCACAGTGCTCTTTCCTTTTCATGTGTTCATCACAAGCACCTTTGCTCTCCTGCAGGAACGCTGAGTTGCAACATAATTCTTCTGGGTTCTTTTCTAGATGAATCATTTTGTCCCTTGAAGACTTCTATGGTTCTTGTTTAGAACAGGAAGTGTAAGAACATGTTTTTTCATTCTAGGAAATGTGTCCTTGTGAAACTTAGGAATGACAACTTCAGGAGGATCATTGTAATATTTTATCAATTCCTATTATTACATTCTCTCTTTCTGATGCTATTTGCACAGCTATGCATCCTGGCATGGTATGGCTGTGTTGGCATAAATCACTGAGTCACAAACTAGCCCTCCGTATTTTTGCCAGCAATTTCATTTTGCCCAGTCTGTGTGGTTACTGTGAGGTTCAGTATGTCATACAAAACCAGAAAATTGGACAGAGTGAGCCATAGATAAATAGATTGCACAAGTCTAATCTGCATGTTACAATGTAGGGCAAATAAACTTACAACAATTGTTTTACAGAATTATAGAGTTGGAAAGTGCCAATTAGTGCCAATCAGTCCATCAAGTCTAACTTCCTGCTCCACGTGGGAACCCAAGCACCTCCAGAATGTTCAGTCTCTTCTTGAACGTATTCAGAGGAACCCACCACCTCTCTGGATCATTAGTTCTGCTGTCCAACTGTTCTTCCTGTTACAAAGATTTTTAAAAATTCTGTTGAAATATGCCTTCCTATAATTTAAATCTCTTATTCCATGTCCTGCACTGTAGAATGATAAAGGTCTCAACCTTGTTCTGGGTGATTTCTTCTTAGGTGTTTGAATTTCTCTCCTTAATTTTTATTTTTCAAGGTTAATGAAAGTCTCATTCTCAAGTCTTCCCATCTAACTTCATAGCAAAGTAAGATTTATTACAGCCACAGACCATTGCTCAGAAACTCTTGAGAGGACATAGTCTCCCTTGTTATGACCCTTCTCTGAACTTGCTCCTCTGAATCCTTCTTAAAGCCTGGCAGAAATGAACACAAGACACAAAGCAGAGCTTGACCAATACAGAATAAAATGGAACAATCATTTCCTGTGATTTGGAAGCTATACTGCTGATGATTTGGTCCAAAATTGCATTTTTCCCCCTAGCCACATCAAAGTGCTGACTCTTATCAGTCTGCAGTTCAGTATGTATTCTAAGATCTTTTTCACCAGTACCTTCACCAAGCCAGATATTCCCCACTCTATACCAGCACATTTGAATTCTGCTTAACTACAGAACTTTGCATTTGTTTCAGCAACATTTCATTCTGTTATTTTCAGGCTATTTTCTAACTTACCAAGATTGTTTTGAATTTTATTTCTGACTTTTAAGGTACCCACCCAATTTTGTGTTATTTGCAGATTTGGTAAGCATGTCTTCCTCCTCTTTGTCTAAGCCATTAAATTATTGTTAAAGACTACAGGACCCAGGATTGAACCGTGTAGCGTCCCACTTGATACTTCACTCGAGTTTTATGAGGAATCATGTATGGATACACATTCCATGTGATTCTCACACTTTCCCCTTTGTGAATGCTGGTTAAGTATAGGAAATGTATTTCATCCACTTGAAATAGTCCTTGTGAAATCGTTGTATTTTTGTTTGGAAAGAATGACTCATGCACTGAGACTTTTTTTTTTTTTTAACAAAAGGTTTTAATAGCAGTTAATTACTGGGGAAATTCCATGTCAAGATTACAGCACAAAGCTTTGAATCTACTTTAGGTCAAGTCATGCTACTATCATGATCCAAAGACCTGTAGTTCACTGCGTAAGGGAAATACAAGCTGAGTTCAACTTTTATGAAAGGAAATGGAGAGTAAAGAAAGGTATTTTTATTTTGTAATTGTCTAACAGATATATTAACCTAAAACGTAAGAAGGATACAGCGTGCTAGCACTCTGTTTTATGAGAGGCTCATTCAGTGCCCATTTATAATGCATCATCGCAACCACCAAGAAAGGGATGGGAACCTTTTGTTCTGTGTAATGGTCTGTGGGAATATCCTTGAGAGACAGGAAGAGGAAGAACCACACCCAGGGCAACAGTCAGATAGGAGACATTTCAGGCCACCGGAAGAATAAGGGTTGTGGAAAGCTTCTCAGAAGGGACCTTCCCTAATTCCCTGAAAAGTAAAGGCAAGAGAAGGGGAAAATACTTTCAGACTTGCCAGATTCTGTTACTGTAACCTTACAATAAAGGTAGCGTCAGTCCTCATGTTTTTGGTTTCTAGTCCGGACTACCTCAAAGGACTGACATCCAGTGAGAGGTGCAAGTCCGTGGGATCCACAAGGCATGGTGAAACCAAAGGAAGCACATAAGATTGAGGTGAGCAGCCTACAGCTTGGGGATGAGTGTGGCTTCCAGCTCCCATCCCTTTTTTTGCCGGTTGGAACCCCTCGAGTTTTCATTGCTAACATTCAGCAGCAAATCCTTGAAGCAAGTTGGAGCAATGTCCTGCTTTTGTTGTTCTTGTTGAGAATAAGGTCATATAATCAGACAAAATCCAGTTTACATGATTGACTTGATGTAGATTGTGGTTTGATTCAAATTTCTGACACTGATTGGAAATCACTCCTATTTAATCCAGAGGTCTGAACCGAATCCCTGAATCAAACTGAGGGCAGAGTAGGGGTGAAACTAGAAGTACCCTCACTTTAGTCCCAAAATTGATATTCCTACTCCCCACATAGAAAGCCTTGTTTCTAACATCAAGAGGAAAGCCTATATGGTTACAGCCTTTTAGTGTGTTTTTCCAAGCAGGAAACTCCCAATTCCAATTCCATAAAACTGGAGTGAAATATCAACTACTACTGGAGAAGGAAAGGGTTAAAATAAACTTCTCTTTCATAGTCCCAGTTCAGCTCAGCTTGGGTATCTGCAATTGGTATTTTACTCTTGAAGCACTCTGTTATGTTGGGAGGGGGAACATCTGCATATATAATTTTCTTAATAGAGCAAATAGCTTTTTGAATGTAGTTTTCACTGAGGAAATAGTGTGGGTGGATGAAGAACAGACATGAAAATAGTGATTAAATGGTACCTCTGTAGTTCTCCACCCAGTTCCTATCCTGCTTCTTAAATTAAAGATTTTCTTTTTTCTTTTTGTATGCAGCGGAAGATAATATATTTAGGCCAGTCCAACAGCTGACCTAAATCCCATGTCTTGGACAGGGGTGTGACAAAAGGACTGTATTGTTCCTGTTCTGCTCAGTGTTACCGATTTGAGACTTTGCAAGTTAAGGGGGTAAATATATCCCCATAGTTAAGGGGACATTCTTTAACTTGGAAGTACAAAACACAGGATTAGTGGTGCAAATGGTATAAAACTTTAGCATAAGTTTATCTGTAGAAATTAAACTTTGGTGTAATCAATAGAGCTCTAGATACTGTTCATTTTAAGACGATTTATAACTTGTAATTATAATTTGTTATAATATGTATTGAAAAGGACATTGCCCGGGGGAGGGTTATTTATTTATTTTTCATTCTGTCATTCATTCTTAATATCTCACGCAAATACCGAATTCTCTCACTGCTGAAAATCGAATTACACCACACATATCAAAAATAAACATATACAAAAATAAACATATCAGCAACAGAAACTAAAACGAAAGAACATCTGCTTCTTTAAAAGCAGATATTTAAAATGCATGAAGTACGTGGATAATTCCCGAAATCATACCGTCTGCAGAGAAAGCATTGTATATTGGGGTAAGCAAGTCTTCTTCAAGTTGAGCTCAACTGCTGGTGCCTTCATGATAGTCATGATGTAGTCTATGCTTAGCAACAATACAAAAACAGTTTGCCACTACCTTTTTGCTGATTTTTGGTTTTGTTTTTGACTTCCTAAGTTAGCCTACAGCCCTGGAGATCTTCTATCCCTGTACTTAGCTTCTGAGCCCAAACAGGGCAAATCAGATGCTGACACTGATTACGTGTCAACCACCACCATTTTGTTGTGGTGGTTTTATTTGCCTACACACCGCATGTCATTCTTCACTTGGAAGGAGTCCTCCATGATCTGCATGTCTATTATTCTTGTAAAACAGTGATCCTGCAATTGACAAAATACCCCTGAGGTAGCATAGTGTGCTTTTGGGAGGAAGTTCAACAGGGAATATTGCTGTATCAACTAGTCCTGTTACTGATGTTATGCATGCTGACGTACGCCGTGTCGACATAGCCAGTCCAATTTGATTACACAGTGACATCTGAAATACAAAACAAAAGGATGCTGCCTCAGAATATGGAAGATAATGTAAACCAACCAGTTGTCATTTTCGGATATAGTGCTGACAAAAATGGGAATGAGAGATCAGTTTCCAAAGACAGCTGTCTGTGGAATCAGTTCTGCTACATATCACAACTGTGACTTTTATCTGAAAAGCCGTACACTTTTATGAGCATTTTAAAGATTACCTCTTTTAATCTTCTGAATGGCTCAATTCTTCCTCAATTTTTTGCTTAATGTTATCAGCAGTGATATGAAATTTAAGTTCTCTCAGAGTGGTGATTAGAGTCTTGTAAGCATCTTTTATCCCATGCTTTTGGTACCAACATTCCAGTAATTTTATTTTTTGCTCAGAAGCATCATGCAAATTCTCGTGGTCGATCCCATCGATTTGAACCCTATGAACACCCAGTTTCCGAACAAGCATTTTGACTTCATTCAACGTCATCTCATATGCAATGTCAGCAATGTAAAGGCTCAAATCAGTATCTGTAAAGGAAAATAAGAAAAAGTGCATGGAATTGCAATAACCAATGATATATAAAAAGGTAAATAACATTGTCCTCAATCAACTTTAAGTATGATCCAGAGACATCAAAATGATAAGAAAGTGAAAAGACATCACCCTAACAACTAAGGTACATATTACACAATAGAAGTTTAACTAAATTTAAGCATGAACGGTTCCCATACATACAACACGTTATGCAGCATGGCAAATATAATCACTTACAGTTTGGCTTCGATGGGGGCCTAAATGTTTACAAATATTGCAAATTAGCAGATGTACAAAAAGGGGGAAGCTATAAATCTATTAGAGTTCTTTTTTTCCCCATTTTCTTTTTTCTCTTTTGCTATTTGTGGTATTTTAATTCTTGTTAAATTTGTTCTATTTTTTCTTTTTATTAACATTTATTTTATGTATGTATGTCTATTATATGTGTGTGTGTGTGTGTGTGTGTGTATACACACATACATACATACAGAGAGAGAGAGAGAGCGCGCGCAATAATACAATGGAGATTTTAATATTCATTAATTCGTTTAAGACCAAAACCTTTATATATAACAAACACTTTGATGTGGGTGCAGGGGAGGTACAGTATATATTGTTAAGGCCATGATTTTCCCAGATGTAACATATGGCTGTCGAAACTGGCCTATCAGAGAGAATGAACAGCAATAACAACAACAACAAAAACCTTGGTGCTGGAGAAACTTGTTAAGAAAGGCATGAAACAAAAGAAATCGAATAGTTTGGATGTCTAATGCAAAGGCAAGAATCATTAGAGAAGATTCAAAAGCAGTTTTTAAAAAAGGCCAACAAAAGACAAGGTAGCTAGATGCTGTCACTGATGACAGAAGAATGAGCTTACAAGACTTCAAAGCAGTAGTTTCTGATAGAAATACTCCAGAAACAACATTCATCAGCTAATGAAGAATCAGAAGCAACAGAATGACAGAATAACAGTGCCAAGGGTCTAAATACAGTGTTCCTATATGCTTAATAAAAAAAAATTGCACAAGGTCCATAAGGCATAAAAAAGCTACAATGAATAACAGTTTCTCTGCAACACCTATAGGTTTCTTTCTGGATCGGATCTGGAAATCCTCTTCCCAGTCACTCATCTGAACACATGCAGACAAGAGGGACATGTAATGGAGCCTATGCTGTCCCACTGACAGTCTCCATGCCCCCAACCTTTCCCTTCCTCCAAACTTGCTCTTTCAGCTATTCTGTGGTCCATCACAGAACCTTGTTGTCAAAACACCAGTTAAGGGTTAGATGAGGTCGCTGATCAAACACTGAATGTGCATGCCACAATGGCTGCTAATCCTCTCAAGGGCCGAGGATGGCATTTAGCAACACAATGTCAGTGAAAGGAGAGAAAACGGTGGCAACCTCTGCTGAGCTCGAAACTGGTATTAGAAGCTGCATATGGTTCGTAAATTGCTCAGTGGGACAGGTGAGGGGAAGCAAATTTTTTATCTGGAGCAAATCCTAAAGCCTAGGTATGAATACTAAGAATACCAGCTGTGCCCAGAGAAGAACTGCAGTACTGAATTTAGCAAGCAAGCAGATTCATTTAGGGTTAGGAAGCACTTCTCCCTTGAGATCATTTGGTCCCAAGTTATATTAGAAGGTCATCACAAGCATGTATGAATTGGGCTTAAAAAGAAACGAAACCAGTTCAGCACTGGAGGTATGTGTCTCTATCAGGGCTAAGGTTACCATACTTGGATGCAAAAATCAAGAGAACCATGAGACGGCCTCAAAGAGTTACTAGATCTAGTAGTCCTAGTCAAGGCAAGTGACATGAACAACCTACCTACTACACTCTGCATCAGTGACAGACAGCTCAGTCCGGAACAAATGTTAGTGATGGAATGATATAACCAAGCTGTTACTATAGCCCAATTTATGCCCAAGCATAAAAGCAAACACATACAAACATACAGTGCAATGACTGTGTTTTGGATTTTTACATACCTGGATAGAGTTCCTTAATTTCCTAAAAGGAAACAAATTTAAAAAAAAAGATGAACAAAATCCATACAGCTTCCTGTTACTTCTATAACACTCGTTAGTGCAAATTCCCTAAAGCAAATACCATTTTTTATTAGTAGTAGGCAAAATTGTTGTTGTTTAGTCGTTAAGTCGTGTCCGACTCTTCGTGACCCCATGAACCATATTGCACCAGGCCTTCCTGTCCTTCACTGCCTCCCTGAGTTTGCTCAGTTTCATGCTCAAGTAGGCAAAATACTCTACAGTATTTTGTTCCAAAATAATCAAGTTTCAAACCATATCCGAAGAACTTCCCACCAAAAGCAACATGCTTGGGTTGAATTCGATCCTGTTCTTTGTAATAGAAAAGTTGGGTCCTGATGTCACATTATCAAACAAGGGGCTGACTCTGAATTCATAGGAAATTGAAAAGATTTACCAATTATACTTTTAAGTATTTATAGGCCTGGACCCATGGATGACTTAATCCCTTTTCAACCAAATTTTCAATTTGTGGTGAGGAGAGCAAATAAACAACAGGAATCTCTACAAACTGGAACAGTTCATTGAGCTACCTTGCCAAGAGGCCAGCTGAAACGTGTATTGAATTTTATTATATACTCAGGAATCATTTTTTAGTTAGAACTATCCCAGGAGAGATGAAGCTTCTGAAGTTAATGTTTCTAGCTTGATTTCTGGCGTTCTGTTTTATGCATATACACACCTTCTAGTTACATGAGAGAAATAGTACAGCATGAAGTTCTAAATGCACTCCAAAAATGTGTGAGAGAACCCATTCTTTATCTGACAAAGAAAAGTGCATTATAGTTTTGGAGTGTCTAAAGGGCCCCATTCCATTTTTTATGGGGCAGGGCTTTGATCATGGTCATAGCCACCATCTCTTGACTTTTCTGACCCCAGTAGATGTCTCTGCACAGATGGTCATCACCACTGATTGGGTCCAACACCTCACCTAAAGGATGGGAAAGGACATCTGGAGGAAGGCCCCAAACTATTTGGTATTTTAAAGATAAGAACCAAAAGGAAGTATTAGCGGTAGAAAAACACCATTACCACCATGAGAAGCTAGACACAAGCGAACATAGTATGCAACTGTGGGTTCAATGTCTTCGTTTTCCCCCATTGACCTTTTTAATTCTCTGGATTACTTCAAAAAAGGAGGCTTACATAGTGATTAGGGTCCCCGTGAATTGGATTCTTTGGCATCTTCCACCTTTTGTACCCTACAAAGGAACACAAAGAAGTATTTTCTAGATAGTCTTCAAATAACCAGAATTGGCATATTAGGAATGTGCTTACACTAAGTGTGAAATGCAGCAATCTAATGTAAAATTATGCTAATTAGTAGCTTTGTATTTCTGAACATTTGAGTCTTTTGTCTTGTAGTGGGGAGCCTGGTACTATTTGTATATTATAGCAGAGAGAAACATGTTTTTTTTTTAATCTGGATAGGACTGACAAATTTGAGGACAGGTTACCTTGGTATGCTAAAGATCCTCACATTGATTTTATATTTATTTGATGTGTACATTCACAAACCAGATGACCCTACCTGATTCTCTCTGGGTACTTATTATAAGTAATATTTTATCACCTTTTTACCAAGCGTAAAACCATATGAAAACCAAAGTGAGTAATATATCTTAACTGTAATAAAACCTGTATGCACTAACTGGACCTTTTTTCCAAAGTACACAAAGTCCCCCCTCCCCCAGTGTACTTACTGAGTTGCTCTAACAATAATTATAAAAAGGCTTGCTTAAATTAAAAATTCTGATTTTTTGGGGAAAACACTGTACACCTGTCATTTTTAAAGCTTAAAAATTAATAAACCACTACATATTTTCTATTTTATCATCTTATCTATAAGATAATATATCCCAGTCATAGTGTAATTTGAGCAGTGTTCGTTTGGTCTGTGCAGGCTGGCATCGTCTTCAGACAGTATTTCTTGCTTGCAGTAAATTTGTAATTTAAGTGAGCTTTCTTTTCCCTGCCTTCTGACCTGTTCTTGGCCCTGCCCCAGGCACCAGATCCCTTTGTTATGTTTTGTTTTTTTGGCTGAATCCGGCATCATAGCTTTATGGCAGGCTCTGGATCCTTTCACTTTCAGCAGTATTTCTGGGTCTGCCCATATTAACCAATCGGATCATTCTTAATGTGATCTTTTGTTGAGTTAATTTCAGATAAAGAGACAGTCCAGGAATGGTCCCACTTTGTGGGGCAGGAATCATACTTAATGCTTTTAAAAAGAAAAGAAAAGAAAAGAAAAGAAAAGAAAAG